AATTCCCATGATCCATGTGAGTAGAGAGTGCAGCACTGTACCTTGCAGTCGAGGGAGAGGTCCTATCTTGTCGGGCAATGTTTGATCATTATGGGCTAAGAGGTTAAGTGTAAGACCATTGAGGAGGGTAATACCTGATGGGCTAATCTTGCATCTGCCCACAATCCTTTTTTATAAGGTGGTTTGACGTAAGGACCATTTAGTGTAAATGTTGGGCCTATTAAGAGCCCATGGTGATGGACTCAGGGGTTCACTGTCTCCTACAGTGAATTCGGGCCAAGCCTTGTAACAGAGGCTGGGCTGAACCCATGTGGCTGATGTGTAGATCAATGTTTGGGTCCCACGCCATACAAGGATAACCAACTGGGCAACAGTTTGGTGGGTAAGTGAGCAAATGGACTTAATGGGCCTAAAGCCCAATTCGAACTGGCTTAATGAGATTAATTAAAAAGGGGCGGTTCTGGGATTTAGATCAGCAGATAGGATAAGGGATTATCCCTATCCACTCAGAGAGAGTCCAGATCCAAATAAAGATTTGGATCAGGAAACTCCTAATTAGATTAGGATGGCTGATCTTTATCTGCAGATAAGACAAGGGATTATCCTTATCTCTTAAAAAGAGTCCAGATCCAAATACAAGATTTGGATTAGGAAACTCCTAATGAGATTAGAAGAACCTCTCTTTAAGGCTATAAATAAGAGAGCAGGGCGAACCCTCAAAATACAACAGAAATCATCTAAGTGACTGCTGATTTCCAGAGAGAGACAACACAGCTTGACTGCACTGTCTCTTTTTCTCCTGCTCTTTCCACCATACCAGTTCGATCTCCACCTGTGGGAGCGATCAAGAAGAGTTCTTGATATTACCTTTTGGCAGAAAAGGTAATATGAAGTCGTGCTCACTAGCCCTCCATCGGATTCTTGCTGAAGAATTAGCAAGAACCGTCCTGCTGATTCTGCTTCATCCTGCACCGTGTCATCTTCGGTGGAAGCAGTCTTTGGATTTTTTCTTGTGCGTGAACACCTTCAATGGATGTCATTACTACCTCGTATTAGGTATATCCCTCCACTCCCTTTTGGTTTCAGATCTGGTTTGGTTTAGGTTCAAGATTGATCCTTGAAAATGCACTTTTCTAAAATAGGGAATGCGATTCCCACATGGGAGAGAGAAATTTTTTAAATTTCGCCCAACCTTCCTATAGGGTTCGGCCATCCATATAATGGATCTTTCATCCCTTCAACCGCATCTTCTCTCCAAAGAGTTGTGGAGACACTTAATGTACTATAGTTCTATGGTCCCTATTGAACCATAGTCTTAGTCTTATTTTCTTCTTTTTTATCTTTCAGCCCTCTAAGGGCTCTTTCATAAATTCTTTATTTTTCTTCTTCAGCCCTTCAAGGGATCCTTTGTAATTATTCATAATTAATATATATTTTGACTCATTTGGGGTGGGGGTCGAACATTAGAGAAAACACCCCAGAAACCTTTGGTGTTCTCACGAATTGGAAGAGATTCACATGGTATCAGAGCGGGTCATGTCTACCAGCTGCTGATTCGATTAGCTTCTTGGATGATTAGAGGATTCTTTGAGGAGTATTTTGATAGCTATCGAACTCTGGTTGAAGGTTATTTAAGGCTGTTTTACTCAGCTGAAGCTGATAGGTTTTTTTCTGGAAAAGGTGCCCAACAGGTCAGTTTTTTCTTGTTTTCTCTAAATTGGCTGACTCAATCAGCCTAATACTCTATAGTTGATGTCGTCCAGGCCTCCTTTAAATGGTTATTTAATCTGCTTTGAAGACTGGTTCAGTTTTGATAGGGTTTTGATCCTACCTTGTAGTCGACAGTCCTGCAACCTTCCATTTTAGGATTAACATTGATATAACCCAATTGTTCTGAGATTTCTGCATCATAATCTCAGTTTATTTAGTGAAGTATTACTTCAGTATTGATCTTGAACTGTTACTGATTTAAGTTGGGTGGTTAATCTCTGTTTCTTCCTTCCTTTAGCTTCATTTCGAGCTCTATTAACCTGTTTTGGACTGTGGTTGTGATTCGGAATGTCTGAGAAGGCTGAGATCATTCCTGTAAAGTTTGATGGAACTAACTACAACATATGGAAGTTCCATTTTAACTTCTTTGTTTTAGGGAAAGACCTAGAGGGATATTTGAATGGGAAGGATCACAATGGAAGTTGGATAATAGGAAAATAGTTTCTTGGATACTCTAACTCAACTATTTCTCATATTGCAGTACCCATGAGAAGAGCGCATACTACTTATGAGATGTGTGCATACTTGAAGAAGGTGTACCATTTTTTTTTTCGATCAGTTTGAAGAAGGTGTACCATCAATCCAACATGTCTAGACAGTCTCAGATTGAATCTGAGATTTTTGCCTATTGCCAGTGAGATAAGATTCAGGAATATTATGCCAGTTTCATTGACTTGTGGGCAGAATATGAGCTTGTCCATACAGACCCTGCAGAATGTGTCAAGTATCTCCAGTAGCACTTTGAGAAGAGGAAAGTGAATCAATTCCTTAGACCTAAATATGAGATAATCAGGTCTAACATTCTGAATAGATGAACTCTTCCAGATTTGGATCAGTGATGGATGAACTATTGAGGGAGGAGACTAAACTCTTAACTGCTGCAAATATTGATGGGAAATCAATTGACTCTGGGGCTGACATAACTTTTGTTGTTCAAGGAAACAAGAAATCTGGTGCTAAGGACTTCTCCAAAATAATCCATCAAAAAAAAGGACTTCTCCAAAATACAATGTTATGAATGCAAGGGGTTTGGTCACATTGCTTTTCATTGCAAGAAAAAGAATGTCTGCACTTATTGTAAGCAGCGTAGTCACATCATTCCAGACTGTTCGGTTAGGCCATCTTAAGGTGCCCAGAAGAAGCACCAGCCACGTAAATATCAAGTGATTGAGAGACAAACCACTGATATCTCCTCTATCAAGGGAAATTCCTTTGCCTTTAGTTCCTTCAACTTCCAGTGGACTTTCATCCCTTCCCAATTCGCCCTTGGGTTACTCCCCTCCCACCATTCCTTAACCTTCTCAATAAATCCATCAGAACTTAAACCACATATTCTCAAATTTGAAAGGAATAGGACCTCTACCCCCCACATCAGCCTTACAAATAGAAATTGGCCAATGATCCAAAATTATTCTTGGAAAAGCTCTTTTGACACTAGGCTTTCCCATGGTGAATAAAAATCTATCCAATTTAGAACAAATTGGGTTAGCCTGCATATTGAACCAAGTGAAAATGCTATGAGAGAGAGTCAAACTCCTTAAGCTCAAAAGTATCAATAAGGGGTTATATGGCTGAAAACACTCAGGCAAAGATGGGGATTCTTGGAACATATTTATATGACCATGGCTGAGAATCAGATGCCCTCTGTTTTCTCTTTTAGTTTGGTCAAATTGGAAACAATTAAATGAAGCCCTCTGTTTCCTCTTCCAGTTCAATATATTTGAAGAGCTACAAACCGAATATAGATGAGAGGCTTAACGGTGGCTTTGAGGCTCTCTATTTTATCACACAGGAGAGACCACTGAACATGTGCTTATAGCTTCTATCCTCTTATTGGGCCTAGTATTGGCTACCGTGGTAAAACTACAGCAGATCCAGACTCCAAACATTATATCTTCAAATTAACTCTTCTTTAATTGCAATAACAGTGGCTCTATTTATAGACTCAGCATATGAAATCAAATAACCTTTACAGTCTCCAATTGGACTAGGAAATTGACCCAAATCAACTTCTAATTGCTTTAGAACTAAGACAATTCCATAAGTAACCCATAAGGACAATGGGGACTCTAACTCTGATAATACTTTCCTAATTCCACTAAAACTAACTTAATTTAAAGACACCAGAAATTACTAAAAATAGTAAACTATAAGTTTACTAAAATAATAATTACAAAAAAATACTATAATGGTAAGACTGAAAGTTACATAAATAGTAATTTTAAAACAACAGTAAATTTCTGGATACTTAAAATCCTATTCCTAAGACTCCCACAACTTCAATAAAAAGTTGCAGCTTAAGTAGGCTCAAACTGATCTAACCAAGTACATACTATTGCGCCATACTTGCTCTGCTTATACTTGCTTTTATTAAACTCTCTTAACATCTGTCTAGAGTCTCTAGACTACTTTGTTGGGTAAATCTATGCCTAATCTCAAACTAACAAATTGAGGGCTTTCTGACCAAATTCCAGCTTGTTTAGGCTCATTTCATCCACCTAATTAGTGCTGTTTGGGCCGGTTGTGCATCACACCTCTCTTTTTATTGATCAGCGGCATCAGCCATGCATCATAGTGTTAGCAAAAGGGGCATCATATTTCAATCAAATTTGACAGTCAGTGGAAGAGGGGGGAGAAATTTGAATAAGATAGTATATAGAGAAAGGAAAGAAAGGGAAAAAACCCTACTTTCTCCAGCAAAAAGAAGATTTAAACCCTACTTAGCTCAGAGAATCGCCACATGAAAATATAAAAATAAAGAAAGAAGAAAAGACCACTGGAGGGAGGAACTAGAAAACAAGCGACAGAAGATTTAAACGAACCAGTAAACTGCACAACTCAACTGCAGCTTCAAGACTAAGTGCAAAGGAGAAGGATAGTAAACCCAACAAAATACTGGGATGCATTTCCTCTAGCTCTCCAAGAAGATATAATATGCATTGGATTGGGAGGTTCAGTAATCTCAAAATTAGAATTTATTTGTTGTCGTCAATATGAACTTTGTAGTTTCCCAAAATATATATACCCTGGTTATCCATGTAGCAAAATATTATTCAAACTAGAAATAATTGGATTTCAGAACAATGTACGAGATTGGCTCATTACCTCAAAATTTTACATGACCAGACACCACTATCCAATCAGATTGAAAAGAAAGATACGCAGCATGCCAATTAGGTTAATGCTAGTCAATATGAACAGATGGTCTCTTGGAAGGTGTCAAGACTTACCCGTAACCAGGTAAATCCACAATATACCAGCTTCTGTTTACTAAGAAATGGTTTATAAGTTGGGTCTTCCCTGAAAAGTTATCACAAGTTTCTCAAAAAAAAAAAAAAAAAACAAAAATGAAAATGAAAATGAAAAGAAAAAAGAAACCAAAAATTCAGTTCAGATAAAAGTTCCCAAAACAAAGACAAGAAGGAATATAACAAAACCTGGTTTCTTTGAGGTAAGTGCAACTTCTTTCATCCGAACAAGGGCATTAATGAGCGACGATTTTCCAACATTAGATCGACCCAGCATCGCAAACTCGGGACGATCATCTTTGGGGCAATCCTTGGCTTTTCCGCTGCTCTTCACGAACTGAACCTCCTTAATTTGGGCATGACCGGCATAAGGACCCAACACAATGTTCGAACCAGGAAGAATCATGTCTTCTCTCACTTCTTCTGGTTCCACTCCCGGAGGGACGAAAAAGGCCTTCTTGATAAACTTGACGGTGTCTAAAACAGCCGGTTTCGAAGTCTTTGCGGCAGAGACGACATGGTTGGGGTTCTGCTGCACTTGATCTGGCGACTGCGAAAAGAATTTTTGGAAGGAGAATATGATAGGAAGCTTTATAGAAAATGTTGGAGAGGACGAGAAGAATGACGGCCGTTGGAGACTGATCAGTCGGTTTTGCAGTAGCATTTCTTCGCTTTGAAGGTTGTAATGTAAGCTCAATTCAATTCAGAGGTTCGGAGGCACTTCTTTCAGTCACAGTTTGTGAAGGCTTCACCCTTCAGCTATAGTTTGTATCCTTCGGGAAGGTTTCGTTCGGATTTGGTCTAAAATTGCAAAGAAGCCCATGGAATCTATAGAGGTCAGAAATGTGATTGGATTGGGAAGTAGGGTTATTCATGGGCCGGACCTGGTTGGGTTCGGGCCGAGCTTAGCACCTATAATTCGGGTTATAAGCCCCGGATTTCAGGCCTATTATTTTTAGGGTAAATTTCTTAAACTATCCGTATGGTTAAGTTAATTGATTAATTCTATCCTTACTATTTGAAAATTGACTAACACCACCTTTAATGTTTTTGGCAATTGACTAATCCTTTTTTGTCAGTAACATGTATCAAGGGAAATATGAAAAATGCTATTCTACCCTCCAATTTTCTTTAAATTTTGAAAAAGTGTATCTCTCCCTCTCCCGCCCGTTCTCTTCTTCGGAACTGCCAAAACTTAGATCTCTCCCTCTCCCTTTCGTTCTCTTCTCTAGAACCGCTAGAACCACCCAAAATGTTATATTTTGCAATTCTTTCCATATGTTGATCATCTATGCTGGAGCCCATTCTGATTGAAAGTTTTGGTGTCGATACTTCTAAAAGATTCAATTTTGGTATCGTTGGCTTTGTCACAGGTGGCAGTTGCAGTTGAATCATTGATCCTTTATCCAAACCAAAGAGGAAGTCAGGATGGGTTCTCTCCTTATGGCTTGATGAATTTAATTGGGACGCTCTGTATCTATGCAATCATATGTAACCACAAGGGTATGCTGTTGAGGTTATCAGGGACAATAGTTGTTTGGGAGGGTTATTTCGATGCATTGGATACATATTATGATCACAGAGCATTGAATATGGGCGTCGGTAGATCCTTACGTGAAGAATGACTTCAAGATGTGTTCAAGTGGAAGCATCTATAAAGGGTGTTAGGGAAGTAGTTTGGAGTTCAAGAGCGGGCTCCGACATAAAATCAAGACAAAAAAGACAAAAAAATGGAGCTCAGTTCTGTTTCAGAGTTGGAAATTTATTAGATCAAGTCAAAAAAGACACATCCTAGGCAGATCTTCTCTGCAACCAACCGGCACAAACTAGTTCTGTTTCAGAAATCAGTTATGTAGAGAGTGTTCAAGCAAAGAATGGATTTATGTTTTGTTTCAAAGTTGAAAGTTCATAAAATCAAGACAAAAAAGACACATCCTAGGCAGATCTTCTCTACAACCAAAAGATGCAAACTAGTATCAATCACTCACAAAATGCAACATTAACATGCTATGGGTGAAACCAAATACCACTAGGTGAGAGTAGTGAGTAGAAAAAATAGGTTTTTGAGGGAGAATTTTCTTGCTTGCCTTTTTGTAAGTGGTACTGTCTTCTTCAATGGTCCAATCGGACTGATTTTGTGCCAATAGCTTTTACTAGTAATTTCTAGCCCTTGGAAGATAATCCTTGTACCACCATTATTGGTTGCACCCAGACTTAAAATTTTTATTGGGTTTTATTTTGAAACAGGAACTTAGTTCCTGGGTTTTCGTCGGAACTGAGGATGTTGGATCTAAGACCTCTTCGTCAAAACTGAGATCGGCATCTCTGCTCCTAGGTTTTTGTTTGAAACAGATAAAGAAGTAATGAAGAAGAAAGGTTTTATGGATGGTATTTTAGGAACAGAAGTCAAAGGGTATTTTTAGGAATGAGTGAAAAGGGTATTTTAGGAATTTTTAATAAAAATATCAGTCATGTGATGTCACATGTAATGGAAAGTTAACGTATGATAACAATAAGGGTAGAGCTAGTCAATTGCCAAAAACAGTAGGGGTAGTGTTAATCAATTTTCAAATAGTAAGGGTACATTTAGTCAATTAGCTAAACCATAAGGGTAGTTTAAGAAATTTACCCTTACTTTTATTATTCAAAAAATTTTAAAAATAAAAAATAAAAAAAATGTATAAAACAAATAAAGTCAAATGGGGTTCCACAATAAAATAAAAATAGAAAAAAATAAGAAAAACTAAAAATATAATTATGGGGGATTCTTGTGATGGTTTCATTTGTTTTGCTTATTAAGATGTTTATAGTTAATTGAAGAATATTTTTTTGTGCTTATGTTCATTTGGAACCACACGTGGGCCCTTACCTATTGGGCCATGAGAGGGGTGCCTAACCCCTTCCCTCTCTCATCCACGTGTTACCTAGATTGACTCAACTAGTGCCTTGGGCCTTGGAATCACTATAAATGAAAAATGATTTTTATGCAAATTCCTAGAGATCCCATCACCTCCATTTCACTTAGCTGATGGGTGGCAACTACAAATCAGTGCAAGAAAGTCATTTTCCAAAGCTCACACATTTTGCTCATTGCCTCCATGTTTAATTTCTATTGTTAATTTAAGTATTGTTCTAATACCACAATCACATCTTAAATTTCTTTATGATATCAGTGTTCCATACTTGTCTTGTCAAATTCAATGCTATTGATTTTTATAATTTGTTTAAATATACCATTAATATAACTTAGAAGTTGTCATACTGTACAAGTATCTACTTAATATTTAGTGTTGTTCTAGATGTGCATCATTTTGAAACAAGTAGGCTAAGCATGTATAAGTATATGGGTATTATAATTGCTAAAAAATGATGCATCATGTTGTATGATTCGAGTGTACTAAACCAAATATGCAGCGGATAATCCTATCAACTAGATGAGGCCAAAGTGGAAGGACGAAGTCGCGCACCGAGGAGATCTGCAAGTAGAAAGTAATTAGAGGCCCAATGATGAGGTCCCCAAGAAGGCATTCCAACGCTTATGTCGGTAACAGGGTGATGAAATCAGTCGAGCCAAGTTGTAGAGAGTGAGCTGGTCCAAGCTGAGGAGAATAGTAAGAGAGCTAGAGAGTTCAAAGAGTTGAAGGTCCTTTACTGCAAGGGGCAGAAGCCTTTAAATAGATGACTGTTCATGTTGTAGCTGGACAGGCTCCTTGCGGAGTTATCGAGATCAGGCCACCCGTTGAGGTCTTCAATAGGTTTCGCCTTTCTTGGCGAGGGCACTTCTCCTTGTCCATGTGGGACTTTGCTTCTCTACAAGGTCTTTGGTGATGTTACTGTCCACTTAGGTGGGCAACATGATGATGTGGTCCAAAGACGTCGACCATGGAAGCGTCCATGTGATATTACTGTCTGCCCAAACATTGCCCCCACCATGAAGACTCAACTCTACATTTTAGGCCCCAAAATACATAGAAGGAACAGGTTGCATGAGGTTGGCAATCCATGGAAATTTTACTTCACTCCATGAATCTTAGTTAGTGTTTTAATTACATGCTAAGGCATCATTCCCTTAGGAAGACTTGGCCTTCTACAGACAGTGTGGAAATCTATGACAAGTGGTCCTAACCCCAAATGATATTATTATGATAATGATGATGACATCGATACGCATCACCTAAAATTATCTGATTCATTATTGTTCACTAAGAGAAAATAGTTGGAAGGAAAACATGTTGTTCTATAATAGTCAATCTCATTTTGGTAGAATTTTGAGGGCATAACTAATTCGAGCCTATGCTGAAAAATATTGGCACAGAATATTCTTAATTAAATTGCTTTTTCTATAGGTTTCCTCTTAAGTGAAAGACCCTATTCTAGATATGTTTACGCTCAACCTCCCTACATCCAGTAAAACAATGGGAGCTAGCATTTTTAGACCTCTGAAGTACAACACAACAAAAGCTTCTAATATTTACTAGATCTAAAGAAGGAGATCTATTCAGCACCTCTCACACCCACCCCCATCCCCTCAAATCCATACACCCAAAACACCCACATGTTAAAACCTGAAATTCTACCAAAACTTCTCATTTCCAGAGCAAACTGAAAAATGGGACAATATAGAAAGCATGGTTCCCAATAATATCAGATCTAGAGATGCTTCATATAGTAGACTGACTTTGTTGTAGAAATGTAAACAAAATATTAAATATTAATTCACTGTCAAATAGGTACTGAAATAGTGAAGAATGTAAAACAGGGTATGTGGATATTTGAAATTCTGAACATGATCATCTATGGTATCCATCCAATTCCAATATATCAGCACGAAAAAATCAAATAAAAGCAGATCAAGAATAGAAATGAGAAAGACTAAATGATATAAACTAGGTAAACCCTTGAAATTGTATTGGTGTTCCTTCAATTCTCATTCTATTTGTTAACTCTTTGTGAGAGGCCATCTCATATGTAGTGAGAAAATTCATTAATTTTTAAAGATATGATCTCGGCTCATTAGTGAAAATGATTGTATCATCCACATAGAGGCAGTGAGAAACATTGATAAAACCTTGAGGAACCTTGTAGAACAGATACGGGTTATCATGAAAGACCTTGAATAAACCACAGTTGAAAACTTCTTCCGCTAAGATGAAAGATAGGGAAGAGTGGATCCCCTTGCCATAGACAACTAAAAGCCAATTAAAATTCAAAGAAAACCCACAATTATCAACAAACTTCCTAATCAGATCAATCCATTCAGAGTCCAAGCCAAACTTTTCTAGAATTGAGAAGAGGAAATTCCATTCAAGTCTGTCATATGCCTTCATCATATCTAGTTTAATTGCAACACTACTCCCTTTAGTTTTCCGATTGTGAGTGTCGGAAAATGTCTCCCTTGGGTTGATATAGAATTGTCACTCATCATTTGAGGGAATTGGAGGTAATGGGACCTCCAAGAATGATTTTCAAAAACATTTTAACTTTAATAGTGACTCCAAAGCCTGAGACACCAGCTAACCAATTCGGGTAAGACTTAGATGAGAGAGGAAGGGGTTAGGCACCCCTCTCCCGGTCCAATAGGTGAGATCCACATGGGGTCCCAAAACAAGCCCAAATAACAATTAAATAGATCAACACTAAGGAAAGCAAATCACATAAGACAACATAAAAGTAAATTCTACCCACTTATTTTCATTTTTGATGATTTTTTATTTTAATTTACTTTGTTGTATTTTTATTAGTTTTTTGTTTTTATATTTTTTTACTTCCCCTTTTAATTTATTTCTATTTATTTTTTGTTTGTTTTTTATTGT